TCCGCCGGTTGCCTGTTTACAAACCGGTCCATTGTACATCGGAAGGTTAGCTCCTGGAAACCACAGTATCCTGTGTAAGGCAAAGATCACTCCGACACTATGCAAACCCGAGCTCGTTCCAAATTGAAATTATTGACGACAATATCTTAATTCCAGCTTTTTGCTGTTTTTTTGAGCGATAACTTCTCTGAGGAAATAGGGAATTTGTGTCAATAAATAGAGGCCGTGGGTCATTAGTTCTGGACGCGAATTTTTCGCGCATTAGACTTAGCCCGGGAAAAGAGTGACCCGCGTCAACATGTTTTAAGTGACAAAAGCGGCGAATCCATGTCGCTCGCAGGCGCGAAAAATTCGCGTACCGCCTGAGGGAACAGACCCGTGAACTGATCGAATCGAATTTCCAATAAAAACGTGCTGATAAACCCATATACCAGAACCCTTTAGGCAGATCTTCTGGTCAAATTCCCACATACATCAAATTACCCATCTACTAAACAGCTACTTAATCCTGCTACCCAATCTATATGGTAATGAACTTTGCACCAGTGAATGAAGCCGACCACATAGTGATGTCATTGAATAGCTTGCTTTCATCTTTGCCTCGCTTACCGACTAAGAATTAGGGGAGCTATTTACTGATTTCTCGATCTTCTGAACTTGAGAGCAGGTGCTCTGACGGATAACTAGAACTGACATGAGCACCATCACGCTCGATTCCGAAAAGATAAAAATAAATCAGGCAAAAAGAACCCACGAGATTCTTGATTTCTTCGTTGAGTCGTGTTCGTTCCTCCAACAATCTACCGAGCTCTTCTTCCATTTTACCGACTGTCTGCTTTTGTGTCACCAGGCGACTTATCTGAAAAAAAATTGAATCCCTCGAATAAAGTTGAGGCTGGATGAAGAAAGAGAAATCTAAAAAATGATTATGATCACAGAAGTATTGGGTAATAAAAGTGCTAAATTAATAAAATTTTGAACTTGGAAGGTCTTTACCACTGCACAGGGGAGCGAAATTTTCGCGCGCGGCCAAGCGCCTAAAGGAGTGTTCCTCATCTTACACAAATAAGTTTCAAAAAAACCTTCGAAAAATAATTTTCAGATGGTAAAATAAAGCCAAAAACCCAAGAATACTGCTTCTTCAGGTTGATACACACATTCTAGTTAAGGATTTCTGGAGCCTTCCAAATGAGGAAAGTTCTAGAAGGATAGTTTTTGGAATCCGTCTTGAGTCGACTACCACTGGCCCCCTAAAGGGTTTTCGCGTTATTGAGAAGAGCACACCGGTACTGCTCAAGTACTGGCCGAGGAATCTGATTCATTAGGAAAATCACTCTTTCCTTTTCTTCTCCCAACTCAGCCGTCGATCTCCAGCACTTGCAAGGATCAATCGAGCTGATTGCTGAAGCTGAACTTGACACCTCATACCTACTTCTTCCTCAAAAAGTTATGTACAACTGAACGCGACCCTCAACTTGACTGATTTCGACAGCTTA